ACCTGATGCAACTTGAGGCCATTTCTCCTTGTCCTATCGGTAGTTATTCTGGAGAAGAGATCGACCCCCACTCACTACAGCCTCCTTTCAGGTAGTTGTAGAGAGCGATAAGGTCTCGCCTGAACCTCCTTTTCTCCAGACTGAATAACCCCAGCTCCTTCAGCCGCCCCTTGTCTATGTCCAAGCCCCTTCACCAGCTTCATTGCCCTTCGCTGGACATGCTTCTGTGCCTCCGCATCCTTCTTGTTATGAGGGGCCCAAAACAGAGTACAGTATTCAAAGTGTGGCCTCACCAGCACCGAGTACAGGGGGACGATCACCTCCCTGGTCCTGCTGGCTACACTGTCCCTATAAAGGCTGCCTCCCTGGATTCTGAGGGAATGAGCACAGAATCACGGTATCACGGACATACTGGGGTTGGCAGGGACCTCTGGAGAGGATGTGGTCCAGCTCCCTGCTCAACCCGGCTCACCTGGAGCGTGTCTCAGGATCACGTCCAGCCAGCTTTTCAGTATCCCCAAGATCAGAGACACCACAACCTCTCTGAACAGCATGTGCAAGGCTCGGTCACCCTCACAGTAAAGAAGCCCTAGCATGTTTGGAAGTCACTTTTAATAGATTGGCCCCTCCATCTATTTCATTGCTGTCAGGCAGGGGAGTCAGATCTCTCAGCAGGCAGCTGCTGTGCAGGAAGTTTTGCAAGCCTGAGGAACGGCAGCGTTGGTTGTGAAACCACCATGAGATGAATCGCTGCCTGCTGCCATGACATCTGGAGCCCCTATTGCACATTTCTTTATCCATCTACGAAACACAGCAAATGAGAGGCCAACCCTTCTGCAAAGAGTTAAAAGCAGTGGGGATCTAGTATGAAGAGAGACCAGGAGTAAGTTGTATATTAATAATGGGCAGCTCAGTGGCCAGCAGCCTGCTGCAAATAGAGGGACTATATAAGACATCAGAGAGTTTCCTGTGGCCACACATAGCAATGTTGTGACACCGTAGCTGTAAACACTCCTCTGGGCTCTGCAGAACTCAGCTGATAAAGCAGGAGAGAGGAAGGAGGGAAATGCAGTCCCTGCCCCATCTAGCGGTCAAAGCACGGGTGAAGGCCAGCAGCTCCCAGGGCCCTAGTCATCATCTTATTATTAGTGAAATGTTCCATTTTTTATTCCTCTCAGTTCAAGGTAAGTTTTGAAACTAGCATCAGAGCCCATTTACCCAATCTAACCTTCTTGCCTTTCTTCTGTGTCCCTCATTTAGACTTTATGCTAAGTCAGGGAGCAAGTCTTATCTATAACATCGTGCAAAAGTCTGTTCTTCTGCTTGCGCACTGAGTACACCTGCAAAGATGGTTAAAAAGCCTAACAGATTCTTTCCACTCAGTCAGCCCATCTGCCTGTTGTATTTCCTGTTTCATGCTCATCTCCATGGTATGGGAGCACCTTTGGCTCATTTGTTTTCTTCTTTTATACTCAGGATCAAGGTTTCCTTATGTAAAAAATCAAATTGCTGTCAAGAAGAACAATTGAGAGAATCTCTTGGGTACTTTAGTAGCATATAGGATTCAACAAGCTGCCTAGGCATGGTCTAAAATAACTGGAAAAAAAAAGCACCAAAACACTGGTAAATGAAAAAACAGTCATATAGACCATCTTCATAGGTTTCACATATGCCATTTTTTCTTATTCACAGAACTCCAGACAATGAAGAAAATTATGATGATGTTGAATTTGATTCACAGAGTAAGATGGGTATGTTTTAATTAACAGCAGATACTCAAATCTGTAAGCATACAGTATTTATAAGATAAGCAAAAGCATACTGTATTCATAAGTGACTTGTGTAACTAATTATGCTGGTACAGCAGTCCAATACATGAAGAAAGTTGTCTTATAACACTATCTGTTCTATAATTAATATGACAGACTCTCAGGAAGTGCCTTAAATATCTTCTCTACCCCCCGCCTTTTGGTTAGAAATATATCAGGATGTTATGTTACCAGATTTTCAAATCCAATCGAAAACAAATGCTTCTCGTTTTGATTTAAGGTTGTGTGTTCTGGCGGAACAGGAATTGTTTTGTACTCAATAAAAAATAAATAAAATAAATCATTGATTGTGCTTTTAGCACAAGTTAAAATGCTTTGTGACCTGCCTTGAATAGGCAGCAGAGGGTTGCAGGGTTGTGCCAGGAGCAGCCGGAGGAGCAGATCGTGACACAAAGAATTTCAGTCTGCCTTCTGCTCACTCCTCAGGAGGATCGGTCCGTGCCAGGCGCCGGATGCATCATTTGAGCATACTGGCCACCCTCGCTCTATGGCTCTGTGGGCTGTGGAGCTGAAACCAGCTCTCCTCCCACCCAGCTGAGGAAGAAACAGCTTCACAGAATCCTCTCCTGCAGTGCAGGGCAGAGCCTGCCTTGGTAGACGCACCCTTGAGCTCCTTACTCAACTGTGGGGCTGGTGCGAGCAGGGGTTTAGTTGGGTTTTAACAACTATTTAAATAGACGTGTTAAGGCAGGAGTCTACATATACTTCTAGTTAACATCACCTGTGCTATTAGCAATTTGTAAATAGTTAGCACTGGAATTGTTTTCTCTGTAGCAAAAATTAATACCCTGTTTTTACTTTTGGTCATATAGGTCATGGAAGTATAGAAGAGGTAAGTGTTACCATCCATGATAAACTGAAGAACTTACAATTTTTATTACAAAGCTACAAATTTAGTAAAATTATTTCAATGGTTTAGTAAAATTTATTGCAGAATTATCTCAGTATATTGCCAGTAAATTGCAGAAGCGCTTATTATGAAGGACAAAAATAAAACAGAGTATGTAGAGCAAACTGGAACTAATTATTAAAGCTGGCTAGACACCAAAAACTGATATAAAAAAACCCCTTCTATTTCTGCTGACATTTTATTTCACCAAAATTTTCCAGAAACAAGGGCGCTATTTTATTCCAGTGATAAATCACTAGTTTCCAGTAAGCACAGATTTGTCCTGCTGTCTTCCAGTACCTGTCTAGATTAGAGCTAAGCCAGTCTTTGGGACCTTAGTCTGGGTTCCACCTAGGTCCCTTGCACTCCATTTTACCTACTCCTTACTCTGTTACCCCGTCTTGGCAATGCAATCATCAGTGCAGATAGATACAGTCTTTCCAGAACTAACACTGCAGCCTCTGCTTTGGATTTAACAATATACCAGTGTGATGGTAGCAGTCTGGGAATTGATAGTTATGGTATGATAAGCCTGAAGTCAGAACTAACATATAGTGAGTTTGGGTTTGGAAAAAATAAACGAATTTGTATTTTGCTGTAAAAGTTTCTATATCATTTATATGAAGTTTACATAGCAGGTAAATGTTCTTCATTTCATTCCAAATGTATTTAGGCCATTGAAAACTGCATTTTTCTTATAGGGCCAAGAAAGTGCTGAAGAGATGTATGAAGACATAAATAACGTCAGGTAGTAATTTTAAAACGTATGGCCTGTTGTATCCTTTTTTATCAAAGGCTTGCTGACAAGGCATTTGGCACCAAAGTGTGATTGATGTCCCTGGTAGGCATTAATTTCTTCATTCATTTTACCTAGAGAAAGTCAGGTTGTTCACAGGTTATTTCCCACATCGATGTGATATGTCCTGGAGTGGAAAAAGTCTTGTGATAAAATAAGGTAATTGTTGTGATCTAGGTAACAGAAGTATCTGACTTCTGATAATATGTGGATCAGTATTTCGAATTACAGCCTGTGAGGGAAAATAAGATCAGTCCCTAGGTACTTACAGCCTGGATAGATTATTAAGTTGTGGTTATTTTTCGTGTTTCCTAGATAAATGTATTTAGAGCTCTTAAAGCTGCTGGTTTTATAATTCTCATGATCAGAGTCCCCTGGCATATCTTCAGAGTCTGAATGTGAGCCCTGCTCAGTCTTTTGCCTCAAACCCCTCACCGAGTCTCTCAACCTACTGTTGAGAGCCTAACCTAAATGTTCCATGTATGACAAGACACAAAGGAAAATTCTCATTCTTTGGCACAAATAACAATCTAAAATTCCCACTCCATGTTACTTTGCTTATGATGTGAAATGACTTTCAACAGTAATTTATTGTGGAATTGCTATGAACATGGATAATTTAGAAAGCAAACAACTGTAACAAGCACACCTCATTCAGTCTATTTTTTGAACTTGGGTATATCACTTTAGCAGGGGGATGGAAAAAAAGGAGGGGGGCGCCTTACTCAGACCAGTTCTGTAGAGTTTGTAGCACATGGTTATTCCAGAGAAACCCTTGGCAACAACCTGCAGAGCTTACCTACAGTCCTGGCTGCATACCAGGGCTCACACCTCAGTACCATGCAGCCCCTAAGGCACAGCATGCAGTGTGCTCTGGCAGGTTAGGTACGTTCTTGATGCAGTACAAAAGAGTGGCTGCTGCTTGTATAAACATAGCTGCAATAGCTTTTAGTTAGGTTTAAAACAGCAGTCCAGTCGTGGCTGCATCAGGCTCCTTCAGACCAGGCTGCAGCAGTCACCACTGATGGCCCCAATAAAAACTTAGCAGTTGCAGACAGTGCCACAATGCCTGGACTGCTACCAACTTCCAAAGTTGCTTGCTAAAATTAGCAAGTAGATGTTTGGTCGTGTACTTGCAGAGCCAGTCTTTTGCTTTCTGAGAACCCTCTGCCATCCTGTCATCTTGAAGAGACCAATGTAAATTATGTGTGTAGCATAAGAGAAGGTGCTCTTTCCTCTGTTGCAGAGACCAGCAATGCATTTTTAGATCAACAGAAAAAGAGAAGAAGAGGGACAAAGAAGAAAAGAAAAGAATGGACCAAGAGAAGAAAGAACAGAAGGAAAAAGAAAAGAAAGAGCAAGAAGTCAGGAAGAAGTTCAAAGTAAGTTCTTTGTTTTGTAGTCCAGAAAAGGGTATGTGAGAAGCATTATTTAGCCATGCCCAATTTGGAATACAGACTTCAGATAGCTCAGGAGCCTGGATAAATTCTAGGTAAAGGTTTAATTTAACTGTTTTTATGTTTGGCATATACTTGATTGCAAAGTCTATATTGACTGAAAAGAGTCAAAGAGTTTTTATTACATTTTCTGTTAAATCCTCTTCTGTTCTTTCCATAAAAAAAAAAACCCTCTAAGAAATGTCCCTTTATTTTCTATTTCAGTCATTTTACTTCACTAGAATAGCATCAAAAGTGGGGATTGGAACCCATACACTTAATGTTTTTTGTTTAATTAGAGCCAGATATAGTAGGATTCTGCCCTCAGGAGAACTTGGCATTAGGAGTGGCAAATCCACCAGTCGTTTTCTATTAGCCACTGCCTGCTCTTAATCTGCTGCTCAGCTCCTTGCAATCTCAGAGCGGGTAGTGGGTGGCTTTGTTTCACTCCCTGTCTCTTACACTCTGAACACAGTAAAGTCAAAGTAATTCTCTCATTTCATAGCCTTGGTCTGGCTGTGGAGAGACCGACATGTGACAATAGTTGAGGAAAATAAAAAAAATTAATAGTAAGTGATAATAGTGTGGTCTACGTGGCGTTTTGCAGGATGTTGGCCTCAAGTCTCCTTGATAGAGCCTTCTCCCACACCTGAAAAGACCAGCTCTGTGAAGTGCAGACATTAGCATATTGAAAGATTTCAGACTGCAGACTGCTCTCTTGTGGACATTAAAAATATAGTATTATTCTTAAATGGAAGGAAATACGTTTAACTGCACATTTTCTTTTCTATTGCCACCTACACAGGATAGATATTCCTAAACTAGTCTATAATTGTCCACAGCAACATCTAGAAGGCCTCATATATCTTACAGCCATTATACATTGAAGTAAAAGGAGTTTCTCTATGACATATGCTACAGATTTCACGGAGAAAGCTGAATTCTAGTAAACAGTATGATCATCTCTTGTGGGTACTTGTGGGACCATTTGTAGAGCAGAAATGTAAACACTGAACATAATGTGGTAGACTTATGTATGTTTATGAATATTTGCTCATATTAGTGGCCCCACTGAAACTACATTGAGCCGTCCACTGGAATAAATACATACTGTTTTGTGAGGGAAGGTTTCACAGGTGAACCTGTTGGTTTTAGTGTTAGTATTTCTGTGATTTTGCCAATCACTCTGTTAGCTAATTTATTGCCCTGTTGTAGCCCTGTCTTCACATCCTCTCTTACCAGTTTAAATTGTATAGTTGGGGATAACAAAAATGCTCATTTATTTGCATAGAGTGTTTTAAATGTCAATGAAACAAATAATCATCATTACAATTATTTTATCTTTTGCCAGAATGTTGTGAGAAAAAAATATTTTCTCCACATCTGTGATTTATTCTGTCACTCCTTCTATGCAGTTAATGGGACCCATTCAAGTCCTTCATCAGGCACGAGCTTGTACGGACTACAAGGGAGGAAAGAATGAGCTGACTGTCAAACAAGGGGATCAGATTGAAATCATTCGTCTCACAGACAACCCAGAAGGAAAGTGGCTAGGCAGGATAAAAGGATCTTGTAAGTTCTGCTTCTTCACTATGTTCCTGAATGTTTTCAGTGTGCAACAGCAAACCGGTGAGCACACGCAGTATAATATAATGCATGCTGTAATGCAAGGAGTAGCATTAATGAGGCTGAGTCAGTGGCTACCAAAGCAAGTAATTACCACAACTCACACCACTGTGCTTACCTGGCATGTGGGGCTCACTTCATGGTAGGAAGTTATTTTTTAATGCAATGCAACATCTCTAGGCACAAAAATAAGTCAGGAACGATATGTTAGTTCATGCAGCTATTGGGAGATAATCAGATTTCGAATTGGCATTAGGACTTGGCTCTGTGCAGATAATGATGTTGACTTTCTCATATCTTTGCCTTAAAGTAAATCTACCACACAGAACTGAAGAATATAAGATCTTGTTCTAAGAACCTAAGAACCTTAAGAATATAAGGTAACAAGCTTATATTCTCAGGTCTATCCTATTCCTATTGTAACGGAAAGATTCTAACTCTCAATTAAGAATTTTATCCTGATTTCTAGCCTTTTTTTTTTAATCTTGAAAACCAGGATCTCACCAGTGAATAACTATGGTAGGATACACTCTTAAAACGAGACCTTATATTCTGATGATCCGACTCCTGAATTAGATCAAAGACATTAAGACTGATCCATAAAATCAATGAAAATCATAAAATTCATCAAAAAGCATTAAAAACACTTGCTTGATTTTTAAGGACAGTAATATGACCATCAAGTTCAGTAAGACTGTTCATACATATGGAAGTGGACAGTACAACCTGAGCATTTTGCAGTGCTGGCTGTAAAAAGACATACTTGGAGTTTTGTAAATAAGTCTTTTGCTCTGATCGTTTTGTAAGTGAGAAACAAATCTCAGTGAAGGCTGGAGGAAGGGTATTTTCTTGAGCACATGCAGTTAATTAATTAATTTACACTATCTTTTCATAAACTGATGTTTGCTTCAGCTGTACCAGGCATGATGTTTTATCAGTGCTTAAGCATTAAGTGTTCACAGGCCCATAATGGAAGGTCTGAATGGAGATTAAGCAACAGAGGAAAATAAGTTATGATCATTCAAAAGAAGTGAGAAAAAAGATGTTTATTATTTGCCACCAAGTGTCTATCATTAATTAAATCTAGTTAATTATTATTCACATGAAGCTTATGGAGAGGGAAGCACTCTAGGGCTTATTCAGAAGTAGCAGAGTGGGAATTTTTCTATTCTCAAGGACCATGTGAGCATTTTTTCCTTTGAGAAAATACACTCCTGCCCCATTTTCATGCAGACAGCATGTCTGCTGCAGAGAGTTACCAGTTTCAGGCCAGCTGCTCTGCTCCAAGTTTCTCCCAAACCAGCGTGCTCAGGATGGGAACTAGATCCCCTTAGTGAAGCTCCGCAGGGAGAGCAAGATAGCTCCACTGTGTCTACCAGACCAAAGCACAATCCATGCAAGCCAAATGTTTCTTCCTTCTAGTGATCTCTCAGGATATTTATGTCAGGGACCATCCTAAATTATGATACTAGACTGCAGTGGTCCCGAGCTCAGCGCACAAAAGGAGCCTGCGCCTGCCTTGCTCCCTGGAGTCTGCACAGTGAACTCTTCTGCTGTACCTGAGAAGCAGAGATAGGTGCTGTTAACTTTCACCAGCTGAGGAGGGTTTGGGGGGATATCTGAGACATATATGGAATTTGTAGGTGTGAAGATGGTTGAAGGCTCTATTGGAGACTGTTTAAAATAAAATGGTTCGATTAAAGTGATCAGAGATACAGAACAATCCAATCATACTGATTCTGAACCTGCTGTTTCACTCACCAATCCACGATGATCTTTTTACTGGCTCTGCTTAATTATATGGTTTCGTTCATTTAGATGGATACGTTAAAACAACTGTGGTGCAGATTGATTATGATTCTTTAAAAAGAAAGCAACAACCAACTATCAGAACCGCTGTGAAACGTGCAGACAGTGACCAAGAAGTGTATGATGATGTTGGAGAGCAGGACAGCATCAGCAGGTACGTATAGAGAACATATTCAAGGGAAGTAATGATTTACCAGAGTTAGCCTGGACAGGGGAAATCCTACAACTGCCAACCACATTCTTGTCATAAAAGAAAAGTAGTCATTTATGTAGGAAGTACATAATCATTTTATTAATGATAAAGTAGTTAGAGGAACAAGAATGGACTCTGGAATCCAGCATCTAAACACTCATATGTGGGAGGAATTGATAGCACTGGAAACAAAGCTGTGGTAGGAAACAAAGCTGTAGTATTGCAACCCAAAAGAAAATGAAAGCAAAACATACAAGATTTTACAACTCACCCACAGGAAGCACAGTTCTCTGCCCTCCATCTCTTTTCTTGTCCTCTGTCCTTTGAGGTCACATATTGTCTTTTCTAACACGCAAGAATAACATACTGTAAAAGCAAAAGAAACTTACTTGCACAGAAAGCTCCTTATCACCCTCACTGCTGTAGAACTTTGGCCTCTTCTTTTTGAGGAGAAGGAAATTCTGGAAGCGTGACTAGCATGGCCCTTGGGGCAAGACTATGGTTAGCATGGTTAGTTCTAACAAAAGGCCAAACAAACCCCATGAGATGGGTATAAGTTGTTTTTTGACTATATCAGAAACTTCTCCTGCAATCTCCTGTGCATTTGCAATGCAGTGCCACATTACAGCCCCTCTGCTTCAGTGTGCCGTATTATTGAGGTCAAACTGATCTGCAGCTGGGGAAATGTCATCACTGGCAGGCTGCCATGTTCGCTTACAGCTGATATCCTAGTGGCTATTCTGCCACATGCCTTAATGTGATGCTGGTATCTTTGGTACCTGATGTCACATAAAAGTCTACTTCTGTCACCTGATCCAACAAACCAGCATTCATTCTCCATGATGTGTCCTAAAACAGAATCTTATGCACTAGGATTCAAATGAGACATCTGCATGTAGGTGTTGAGGATTGTAGTGTACAGCATAACCCTCTTGAAAGACTCATCCATTGCACCAGTGCATAGAGTATTTCCAAGGGCCTTTGCTTAGAGGCCTGGCTGGAATAAAGAGATCACAGCTGGCTGACTGCTGGGTCCAGCAGGCCCTCAGCTGGGACATCCAGTGGGATGGGGGTGAGGATGGACAGCTCTGTGAGTGCCAGGAACAACCTTTGGAAAGATTTGCCTTCAGGCTGGCATTCTTTAAGCAACCAATAGAGTGATGTGATATTCTTGCAGGTTGCACAACATCAGTTTCCCTCACCACACATTGATCTCATATCATCATAGCTTACCCAGAGGCTTAAATCAAGTTACATTTGTTGTTCCAGGCTGTAGGTAATCTGAGTATCAGGTACTACATTGCAAAAGTATCTTGGGTCTATCTTTTCATTATGGCTAGTATTACAATTAACCACCTCAAAGCAAAGTATGTAGAAAATGCTTTAAATTCAAGCAAACGAGTACTTACACTGTTGTATATGAAAGTAACAATATAACGAACTTGGATGAATGAATGGATCAGATTCATTCAGGACTTTTTGGCATGGAAGTGTAGCCAAAGCCTTGATTCAGAAAGTTTAAGATCTGAAAATAATTGCAGTTACTCTGAATTTATCAGTTTCTTTATTTATCATTAAAATATTGGGCTAATATGAAACTCTTGAAATGTTAGAAAGGTGCAGCTGGAGCTTTAAAGCATCATCCAGTAAAAGCTAGTTGAGCATTAAGTTCATTTGTTTTGTCTCATGAAAATCCCCTCTTGAAGGGGGATATAAGGAGATATAAAGGTCTCTAAGAGATATAAATAGAGTGAATTGTTATAGATATAAGAGACTGTTAATTTGCTTCTCTTTGAAATCAAGTGTCTTTTTATTGGAAATTGTAACAACATTTTAAGGATTTATGAGTAAATGTACTGCTCTCGTGAAAATTCGCAGCTCTATTATCTCCAATGTATCTGCATTAATTTGTGCAAATACAGAATTTGTATCAGAGCTTTACTTACAAAATTCTGTGTCCCGATCCCTTTTTTGCATTATCTAGAGAAGTTATAGGTAACTCTCTCTTACTCTTCTTTTAATTATTGTGAATCATGCTTCATAATCTTTCTTCTGTTTTGTGATGAATTACTTCCATGAAAAAATCAAAATATTTTCTTCCCACTTTACCTCAATCTATTAAAAATTAATGCCTCCTCATCTGACAGCTAATTCACTCATGAATTGGAAGACATGTTTTCTTTAGCATTATTGAATAGGCAACTACAATTTGTGCCTAGAAACCAGTGGGAATGTGGTAAAGACAGAGAAAAGAAGAAATGGCACATGTAGTTATTGCTTATTTAAAACATGCAAGCACGTGCCTAAGCTTTCAGTGCAGAATTTGTAGTGCCCAGCTAGCAATGTAGGCAAAAGGTTTAGAGGTAATAACCGCAAATTGATGGGTGATTGTTATGTTTTGTTTTTTCCAAATAGTGACTGTTTTTCTTTAAAATCTCTCTTATTTTGCTTTTCAGCCAGACTCCTGGTCAAAGTGGAACTGAAAGTAAGTTCTGCAGATGCTTGGGTTGTGAGGGTGGGAATTATTTCTGTGCATTGCTTGACTTCAAATCCAGACCTTTACAGCATCCAAATAATGAAGTAATTTCCCATAAACATACCAAATGTTAACTGGCAAGAAAAAAGGACCTAATGGCCAAATGCGCTTTCTTTCCACCTATCAAAACTCAGATGAAAAAAGTTTTATCTTGAGATTCAGTGAATCAGAAGCATGCCAGTAACTTCAGATCTTTTTACAGATGTTTTTTTGAGATGGTAAATTATCCTCCAAAACAGCATAGACATAACTGGAAAAATATTAATATGACCAAGAGTGTCTGTGCAAGAGAAAGTCAGTTCTGCACCAGCCAGCAGTATTGGCAATCATCCTCCACTTCCAGCAATATTTTAGTGTCTTAATCAATATGACTGCTGTACACTGTACACTGTCAAAAACACACATTCAAAACAAGTTTCCCTTTTGGTAATGCATATTTTCATGTAGCGTTCTTTGCTGATTATGAGAACACAGATCATCTTCTTAGCTTAGAGTTTAGCTACTCGTCATGGGAGAGGCATCCCTAGCACTACGGGAGGAGGCTGCTGTCAGCCCAGCAAAGGTTTCAGTGACCGGGGCCTTCGTTTGGGCAAGGGCAGTGAGCCAGCCCTGCACTGGAGGAGGTGGTGTCCACAGGTCAAAACTGAGCCTGGAAGGGGAGCTTGCATTGCTGGTGCTTCCCTGGATGAACACAAGATGTCACTTGCTGAGAATGTTGTCCTGGCATCTTCTGCCATCGCTAGAGTAACACACAAAAGTTTAAAAGCCACCAGTCATCTAGTAATTTGGCCCCAAAAAGCCTATCTGGCATTTCAAATTCTTTTTTTTTTCATTATTCGTGTTTTCACTTTGGCACTGTCATGTATAAATGCTGTGGACAAGGTGTCCTACTGCTAAGTGTACATGGCTCTTTTAATAAATAACCCATGCCTGTTTACAGAAATGATCCATTTACAAGCCTGCTGCGAAAACATTTATCAGACACACTTATAAGGCCAGTAACTAATGCTCTGCTTTAACAGCATTAAATTTAATTGCATTAACTTGCTGTTTGATCTGTTGAAGTGATGTTCCCTCCTCCTCCTCCTGATCAAGAAATTTATGATGGGATTGATGATGAAGATGTTAGTATTCGGTAAGATTTTATATCATTGAAGTAATTTTCTTCTTTACCAGACTATCATTGTTTTGTCTTTTAGTATTTTAAAATTTGGGATAATAATTAGAAAGTATTGGGATGATCAGCAAATGAGTATATGTCAGAATGGATCCATGAAGCTACAAAAAAAAAAAAAAAAAACTTTAAAAAACCTTCTAGAGAAGTTTGTTTTGTAATTAGTTTGGTGGATATGTCAGCAAAAGTAGTGGCAGTCATGAAAACCCCCAAATCCCTGACTGATCAGTACTGACACGAAAATAATAAAATAAAAACCTACCTTGGTTAGTTGAAACAGGAAAGAGGCAAATTGCTGATAAGTATCTATACCTGTAAATATCTCTAAATGACCTCAAATATATATTTCCAGCTTAGTATTTTAAGCAGTAAATATACTCATCTAGTGATATACTGTCATTTTTAAGAACTATGTACATTGGTGGAGAATTGAAAGTGGACCTTTTAAAAAGGATGTTACATTTTACATTGTGATAATTGCGTGCGTACTCCAAAGGTCTGTATCACAGGATGAAGATAAGACTGATAGCTGGTCCTGGGGAATTTTGAAGAGACTAAAGGTCAAAGATAACAAAAAGAAAAGTGTACGAGAAAAAACAACCAAGGTCAATGGGGAAGAAGATAAAGGAGATTTGTTGTAAGATTCTTCCAGGAAATCACAGTGCACTATAACTAATTCTAATAAGGCATTGATCACATGCTACTAACATGTTCTCACAGCAGCCTAATAAATCATGCATCTGATTGCACCTCAGAGCAATACTTCACCGCAAAAATACTGATCTCCTTTCTTTTCATCTTCATACTATATTTTTTTGTTGCATGAGGCCAGTAACTAAAATATAATGATTTTTTTGTGTGTGTGGATAGCACTGAAATAATCCATCATCTTTATGCCAGCCCAATAATATAAATTTGCTCACTAGTACAATGTAGCTGGGATAAAGTGGTAAATCTAGTGCCATTAACCCAAATTGTAGGAAAAATGTGCCAAAGAGAAAAATGCAAAGATTTTTCTCTGCCCATCTTACCTAGATGTTAACTCAGCAACTGGTGTTTTCACTACCATCTTTTCCCATTCAATTCTGAAATACTTTAATTCAGTGGTAAAAATGTGTTTATTTCATGAGTATTTTTAGTGTTAGCAGAGCTTCACAATGTCTAGAGATTACTTGGCCATTGTGTTGCAAGTTTTTTTAAATGATGTAGATCACGTGAAAGCCTATTAATATGATACAAATAGTTAATGAACATCTTTTCTTTTCAGCGTGACTTCTCCAACAAAGCAGGATGGAAAAGGTAATAATTAGTCCTTTTTTCTTTTTCTCCATATAGATTCCCGATTCTTTTTTTTTTTCTGTATATATTGCTATATATCATGCTAATCACATAAACACTACATCCAAGGAACAAAACATGATGTCCCAATGCTTATCCAGTTCTGGTAGAAAAACTTCCAATGTTATGACTCCTTTGGCTGCAGACAGGGACATACTGATATAGTGCAAGCTCTCTAGAAAGAAGCTTAAAGTGCTTTTTAAGAAGTCAAAATTTTTCTGTGCGAGAGACTTCCATAGATTCATTTTACTGGACATTCATTATGAACAGATGCATTTGGAAAGAAACACTTACTGCAGACTTTAAAAATAAACAGATGCTCATTGTTATTTTTAACACTTGCAGTCTCTCTGTAAGATAACAAATGCTTATAAATATCAATCCCGTCATGGAATAAGAAGCAAGTTCTTAAAATTCTAAAGGCCATTGCCTGAACCGAGTTCTTAATATTTTATCTCCTACTGTGCCATTTTTAGCCATGGATTTGATGAGTTCAGCAACTGTTTTCCTTCTTCAAAAATGCTGGATATGATTCAAAGTATATTCTTGGGGTAAGAATACTTTTCATTGCTTTGGCATTCCCCTATGGCCTAAAAGCTAACATATGTAATTCATATCCACTTTCGGGCATGTTTACATTGACAAGAATGCTGTAGAAGTGCATGAAACCCTGAAAATATACTTTGATACAACACAGTGGGAAATAGCCTAATTAAAATAAAGATTAAAGGCTATTGCATTAGCCAACATGTGCTAAAACTTGCTTCAGTTTAAGAAGATTAAAATATCAGTGAATACCTGTTATTATTAATAGAGTCTTATTCTGAAAAGGGTGGTGTATGTTTTGCGTAGCACACTGTGCAAAAGGGAAAGCTGAGTTACTACATATGATTAATGGCTACAATATTTACTGCAATTTCTTGTCAACTTGGCTATACTATGGTAGATTGCAACACACTGTGTTCACTGCTCAAGGTTCACAGAATAAAATTCCATTCTTTTTTACACTGTTCTTTCAGACTGTGGAGACAGTGATGTTTATGATGACGTAGATTCCTCAGACTTCCCTCCTCCACCAGCTGAACTCAGGCAAGTGAACATGGGAATTATTCCTCTCATTAGAAATCTTTAAGACACTGTGATACATATTCAAAGTATTTACTAGAGGCAGGTTGCTACTGTTGTACGCTTTGTTCAGTATTGTCACGCTTTGTCATTCTCATAACTCTACCTTTGACAATTACAGATGTTCTTTCCTTCTGTTTTAAATTGAAACAATTTGAGTATTAGAATAAATAGACATGCTTTGAATTTCCGCAAATTCGAATCCTGATAGATAAGACGCGCAACTGAATGCATGAGTTAAAGATCCTCCATTGAAAGTGCTCTGTATGCAGTCCTCTTCCTGTAAAAAATTGAGGACTGCTCGGATAAGCACTGTATTTGATGTCGGCTGCTCTTGTGAGAAAAAGAGATAGTGCCTTATGTTACCAGTATGAAACACATCTGAAGTGCAAAGTTAAATTCCAAAATCTTTTATCCCTGGACCAGGAAGTTAGGGCCACCTTAGCAGCACAGATGTATTATGAGCACAGGTGAATATCTGACCGCAATTTGTTGCTTTCTGCCATCACTGACTTCACTCAGGGGAAGCTGCAAAGAGTGCAATGCAATAACCTAGTCCAGAAGCATCCAAACAGAGAGAGCTTTAACTGTGTATATCCAGAGGAAAGGATACAACCCACCTTAATGTAGGCTATTCAAGCACACTCATACCCATTCTTCATAAGGGGAGCTGTCATCTGCAGTTCTAGGCAAATCAGGAAACTACAGAGTCGGACCTTAAATTCCCTAGTACATGGTGAGGAAAGGCAGTTAAGGAATTGAAGCCCTGCCATGCCCTTTGGCACAAATCAGCATGGATGTGGAAAAAACGGTAGAGCTCAAAATGGATCCTTAGTTTTGTACATGCCGAGCACTCCCTGGAGTAGAAAGGACTTGTATATACACATAGGTATTATGGCAGCTATTATATAAATATATGTAAAGGATAAGACAGTCCAGGTGCCGCCACAGTGGGAAATCTTATATTCAGCCTATTGTAGACTTCAAAAAAACGGTCTCTTGCCTAAAGATTCTAAAATGATGTGTGTTATTTATAAAATTTTTGGTAATTGTAAAGCTTCTATTGCTATATTGACTAGATGCTTTGAGAAGATACACATATTTAGTTATATAGCAAATATATTAATGTTAGAACTCCTGAAAAGATAAAAGTTTGAAAAAACCCTCCTGCCCTCCAAAATCAAGTCTCTATCGTATTATAATTATCTATATTAATTTTGTAGGAAGAAAAGAAGATATATATGAAAATAAATAAAATTTCACTGAAATTATCAGGAAATTTGTCAATATCTCGTATATATTGCTAATTCTGTTTTATCTGTAAACTTGTGTTTTAGTTCATCAAAATCATTCAGCCTTGGAAAAGGTAAACAAGATGAAAAAGATGCACGAAAGCTGAAAAAGATGGAAAGAGAAGAAAAAGAATTTAGAAAAAAGTTCAAAGTGAGTTTTGTTCACACACAATGTAAAGACCTGTATGTCTCTAATTTGTTTCCTTTAATTTGCAAAAAAATCTATCATTAACCTGTGGATTGAATGTTCAGATTTAATGGTAGGATATATACCAAACTTACTTTTTTAAACGGATTTTAAATTCCTTTTTTTTTTCTGTTAAATGCAGCTCTTGCAAATATTTTCAAAAGAATATAATTGATTTCACTGACACTGTGAGAGCAACAAAAAAATCCTCAGCTTGTAGTATAAAAAACTACGTTGTTTAAATTGATAAATTTGATCGAAAATTAAATAGAATGTCACCAAAAAGCAGTTTAAAGCTGTGTAGAAGAACTAACTCAGCAAACATCTATAATAATTCTAGGCATTTATGGCTTAGAAAAAAAAAAGGATAGAAAAAGACAATAATTATTTGGTTCTCAAAATGCTTCCCATTTCTGCTGTGGTAGGAAAATATTCCTGATATTACACATGCTCAGCACACAGAAAATTATGATTTGATCAAGTTCACATCATACATAAAAAGTTAGTACTTAAATTAAGACTTTGCAGGATTTATAAACTGTGGTCAGAGAAGAAACTGGCTTGATCTAGAATTTGGTTTTCATCTACCACTCTTTTTTTTTTTTTTTTGCTGATGTTAACAGCCATTAATAAGAAATCATGTGCATTTTTAAAATTGTTTATGTAACTATTTCAGCTGTTTCAATTTAATGCTATATAAAAATGTAGAAACCAATGTAATTCTACACAGGATAAACATGCAAGGCATTCATCACTCATTCAACTTCTCAGAAAAGTTATTTTCAAAAATCAATTAACACCCAGAGCTTTTGAAAATCCTAGCTTTGAAAACTACAAGTTTTTACCAGCAGAATTTTTGTTTCAGGCTTGACACAAGTAAATTTTCATGGCTTAAAAAATGGGTGGGATTTAATATTAACAATACAATTCACAATGAATTATAATTTATAACATTGTCATATTGATATACAAACCTTGTAAGAGATCATGCACCTGAGTAATAGCCCAAACAGATTTCATGCATTTTGTCAGTGTTAAGACTATGTCATGTAGAAAAAGGAAAGATGGTTTGTTTTTCATATAAATAATATTTATCTCCTTTGTGAGAATATGGAAGCATAATACTTTTGCTCTCTCAAGTGGAATTTTTGGAATTTGGCTAAAAAATGAATAAACTTCCCAACTTGGAGATGCTTTCAGAGTAGGGGACAAAACTGACTAAATAGAGACAAAGAGTGAATATCTGATTTTAGATCCTGGATCCAGATTGGAGCTATCATGCTTTGACTTTGTACCACTTTCTCATTTGTAATTGTTTCAACAATCTGATAAATAACCTGGAAATTTCTTAGATGAATAAAACGTACAACTTATATCCTTGCTTAGTTAAATAACACCTACAGTTTATATCCTTGCAAGGGATTCAGATCTTCAAATCTCTGACAGTCAACATGACCAACAAGCCTCAAAATGATCGTTTGTAAGGGCTAATAGTGAGCATGGACACAGACACTAGAAAGCATAAACAATTTTTCATCTAACTTTCAGAAAGTTAGCAATAAAGAGGGCTATATAGTTATAAAACAATGAATCAAGATCGTAGTTTTTGCATTAATATTTTTATCCAGCATCTCTTTTCTTTATTTTTGCAGTTTGAAGGTGAAATTAGAGTTCTTTACTCCACCACCACAATCCAGGATTTACCTCAGAGAAAGTGGGGATCTAAAGATTTACAGATTAAACCAGGGGAGTCTCTTGAAATTATAGAAAATACAGATGAAACCAAGGTCCTGTGCAGGAATGAAGAAGGAAAATGTAAGTTTTGTTAAAAGGCTAGTACAGAATGCTTGTGCTATGAATTAGACTGCTAGAGACGATTGTTCAGTGCACAACTTGAATCAGAAAAAAATAGTCTTCCCTGTCATGCTTGAACTAACGCATGTGTTTTTCCTTGTCTGATGGTTTATAATAGGTAAATTGGGGTTACATTATTATTATTAATGCTTACTTCTAGCTCCTAGAGTAGTGTTAGAAAGCCTTACCATAAAAAGTTTACAACTCACATAGACAAAAAGGAACAAATTACATAAATAATTTGTCCTTCCTCTTGCATTAACTAAGATTAACCAGTTTTTTCAGTGCTTTTGCCTCTAACCAGTTGCCACGCAGAACATCATAGCTGTGAGACCACACACAGTCTAGAAAAGCAGTTGCTGCACCTCTTAGAAGCACTTGCCCATTGATTCCAGCCAAGGGAAAATCAGTGGCAGTATTCCTACTAGCTCTTAGTTTGCATTGCCAGAGCCAGAGCAGGCTGGAGAGGAGAAGGAGTCTTCCCAGCCCTAGCAGCTCCAAAATACATAACCTCACTGGTGCGCGTGCCCGTTTGGGAGCTCCACGTCCTTCCAGGACTTCTTTGGAAGCCATGGCCAGGTTATGCATTGGCAGAAGCTGCTGCATTCTTTGGAGAAGTCTGGACCGTCTACTGTTGTTTTTGATTTCCTAATATTCCTCTGCTACAATACGTTTTAAATCTCCCAAGAAGAATTCAGAGTACGTTCAAAGTAACAGCTTTCTATGTAAACAGCTCACCTGCGTCGCTCACCGCTGCCCTAACTAGAAGGCGGTGTGATGCCATATGCCTTTGAAGTGGATTTAGTAACCTCTCTATTATTGTTCTCCCTGAGGTTCCCATCTGTTACAACTGGAATATAGCCGCCGCCTTGGCAAACTGGCAGGATGCAGGAGATTTTCTTGCATAACCACACATTGGTCTTTCAAAATATGGATTGACCTAGTGTAGCCTCTTCCCCAAGAGCAGCTTTCAATACCTCACTTTTTGAATTAAGCTACCAACAACAAAGCAGAAAGTAGTTCAAGTTGTTTGTTTTTCTCACAGTAGTCTTCAAAGCCTTTCAAAGAGTGACAGAACCTACTGCTTTGCTATGCATAAAAGAGTAAAACAAATAAAAATATCCTCTCTGAAAAACTTTGAATAGATCTCTGTCAAGTTTCACATTAATTAGTAAGGCTCTGAAACTGACAGTTTCAGTTATTTGCTTTATTCGGAGCAGACTTATATCTTAAAAGCATAATTTAACTATTTGAAGGCCAGACAGACTGAAAACCAACAGTTAAAATTATTCTTGATTCTTTCTTGCATATGAATTCTTCCGTTCATCCTTTACCTTCCATAGTTTCTATGCTTCCACTGGCAGTGAAACAAAATTAGGAATTACGTTATAAATTCCTCCCACCTTGTTGAGCAAGGACTGATGAGCTTAGGAACATATTCTGCCATGAGTTATTTTTATAGTTACCAAATGATTTGAAATTCCAAGAAACTGATTCTTGTTTATTCTCAAATCCCGTGTTACTTCTGCCTTGGTCCAATTTATCTATCTTTTGAGATACAAAAAAAAATGTTCAATTCACTTTCATGGCCTTTGCTTAAGCATTAGGATAAGGATGAATATCAGTGCTTGAAAATGTAAGCTGTGTCCCCTCCAGGCCTACTTTGTGCTACTGGAAAGCCATTAGCATCACAGCCCTAGTTATGCCAAGGAACCAAGACTGAATTTTTCTGACCTGCACCCGTATTTTGTAGCTTCAGAAATATGAATGAACTAGGTAAACTTTGGACAGGTAATCTTGGAACTTTGTTCCTGGTGAGGCAGTTGCTGTCTGAAAAGTATCTGGGGGCCGAAGAAATCTAGTCCTGGGGCTCCTGCCTCCAGGCTAACTCTTGCAGTATTAGGACTGTTGTTAGCTATGTAAGCCTGGTTTGCAAGCATATTATGTTTGCATACCATGACTGCAGCAGAGAAAAACTTTGCTTTTGTATATATTTACATGAAAAAATGAAAATTAAAATCAGAGGAGATTGGCTGAGTGATTTTAAAAGACTCCTAATGAGCCTTTAAGAGTCCTGTAAATTGTTGGGCTCTGCTTTAAAGAGAATTTTTTTTAAATGGATGTATTTAAACAAAACTCCATTTCCCTGCTTTTATGCCAGATAAAGCATGAGAAAAGAGAACAAGGAAAAGAACATGCTGAACAGACAAGAGCCAATGTGTACGGGTTTGAATTCAGCTTAAGAAACTACACGGATGACAGAAAGATTACTTGCAGTTTAACCATATTGCTAGACAAAAAATATCACAGAGTTTTTGCGAGTATCAAATCTTCATGAATACAGACAAATTAAGCATCTACTTTATCTAATACAGATGCAATCAAATATTAAATGCATAGAAATACTTTCCCATTTGCTTAGCAACGAGATTATTTATCTTTTTTTAAAGGATACCTGTAAAAATTTTTAGTTTTGGATATTGTTCTAAGTAAGAAAATAGGTAATTTATTCTTTAGCTTTCTTACAAAGAGAATAGTTTTATGACTAATTTAAAACATGATTGAGCTTATAGAGACCTTACCTAACACATTGGTTTATGTGGAGGGTTAAATAGATTATTTTTCATTCTGATTGCATTCATTCGACTGGTAAATCATAAACAGAGTTAAATCAGATTAGTGTCAAATAAAATATTATTACATTAAATTAATGCCTTTTAGATACCATTCAGCTGTAACACAAGCTGGAATTCCTTTAAAAATGCATTGATGTTAATGTATTATGGCCTTCACTGAAGAATGTTATGTAAGACAGGCAATCAGTATCACACATTCTAGAGAAACTATTAATATTCAAGATTTATAGCAATGTTTGCCTGTATTTTAAGATAAAAATACACTGACTTAAAGTGAATTATACAATGTTTCTTTAGATAGAAAAGTTCTATATAAGAAAAAGTTATTTATTACTATTTATAGAATTATTGTTCTATATTTTTCTATTGTATAAGAAATATTATTCTTATCAGATAATTTTTACCATAGTCCGTATTCGAATTCAGGGCTGTTTTACATGTAAAAATATCTTCCAGATGAAGACTGTAATATGCTTTTGGGCATAGTGCAAGGTCACTGTGTTTGGTATTGATTTGTGAGGGACAGTAATCAAGTTATAAATCTTTAAAAAGGGCCATTTCAGCTGGAATAAAATCAGCAATGGATTGTAAAAACGGTTTAAAAAATATACAAAATATAGCATTCTTTAGGTGTGGGTTTTTATTGTTGTTTTGGTTTGGTTTGTTTTGTTTTAGAGGATACTTTGGTATTTTGTGTGTCAGAAAAGTTCAAAGAAATAAGGAATTCCTCTGTGTTAAATAATAAGATCTGACGGTTGATATAAATGCTCTTGAAATATCACCACCAGAAATGCTACCAGAGAAGTCTTTTGTTTTTCTTTTCTATACTATGCGATCGCTTCTCTAAATAGCAGCTCCATGCAAAAAATGCGAAGAGATCTTACAAATAAAGCCAGTTAATTCATTCTACGACCTGTGAATATGGTACAGTACACGAATCTTTGAAAAAACAGCTTTTAGTGTGACTGCGACTCAATAAAAGAAGGATTATAACGATTTCATTATTTATATTAATTTATAAATCTATACTTTATATATAAATATATGTATATTATATTTTAGTTTATATGTAAATATATTATTTTTATAATAATTTCAAATCTAATGAAAAATGACATGTCCCCTTTAAAACTGTTTGCACAAACATACTAATGTTTACCTACAAATATGTGATTGATTATTGTTATGGGTTTTGCTTTGGTTACGTGTGTTATGCCAATTGACAGGCAAATGCATCAGTAAGGTCTTTGACCAAAGAAAGCAAGTTATTTTTTCAAGAGATTAAATGAGTTGCAGAAAAATATATGTAGCTTTGTCTGACTTTATCAGTAATGCAACAGGATGATACGTTAATTACCTGGTGAGGCGGTATTCTAATATCTTTTCATATTCTATAATTTTTAAAATCAATTAAATATAATTAAAAATGCTTAAACAATTATGTTCAATAGTAATTAACTGGTATATACATCTTGAAAGACATTTTTGTCCCATTCAGAAGCTATACATACTTCTTCAAATCCCGTATTATAGCAATGTTTTCCGTTTATATTATTATCCTATGTGAAATGTGTATTTCACTACACCGAGAATATACATATTTCACTAGCTCTAGAAACAGAAGAAATATCATGAATATTTAAATTTAACTTAATTACATATATATTTTAATTTTACAGATGGCTATGTTCTGAGAAGCAATTTAGTTGAGAAGTAAGTACCAAATGATCATTTTGAAAGGCTTGCTTTAATACTACATATTATTCTAAACCATTTGTTAAGTAAAAGTGGAATTTAATTATTTGTGTGTGTGGCGCTGGTCCTGTAAATGCAAAATTTGGAGGAATTTAGCTTTTTCAAGAACTGTTCACATACATGTACGCTGAAAAAAATCCAAGGCTCCATTGCTAACTCATAGACTCTGGTTTGAGACATGTAAAATAACTTAAACTGAGTATTTTGGGGACTGCGATCTATTAGTAAACTGCACATTAATGTAACTAAGTGCATTCAGGCAAATTCAAATGTTTAACTAAAAATAAACCATTTTTGCTTTAGATTTATTTTTATTTCAGTCTTGTGGGAATGCAAAGATTTGGTATTTCTCAGAATAATTGTGTGGAGTTCAACGTTTAGGATCCAATCCAAAACCCTTGCCAGACAAAGCCTTTCCATTTCCTTCAGTGGGCTTTCTGTTAGGCTTTTAAATGTTAAATCAGATGACTGTTTTAGAATTCAGGCTTGCAAACATTTATGTAACTGCTCAACATATGTAAATAGCCTTATTGGCTTCTGTGGGACTATTCATGTATCTAACTAACACATTTTGAAAAGTCCTACTACTCGTGGTGCCTATATCATATATAGGCATTACCTAAATTCATTATCTAGGAAGCTGTTCCTCCAAAACCATTGTCACACTGCCAAGTATAAGAAAAAATAAACATCGCAAGGACATACTGTTTTTCTTCACTTTTCTTACTTTGATTCAAAAAAGAAGAGTAAGAGTTTCATTTTTAACGGAAATATATCTGTGAGTTTGTTAAAAAACCCACTAGAAAGAAATATATATACATTAATTCTGCTAACAAAGGAAGCCTATCAGTTTAAAAAGAAATGTATCCAGCTCCACCCTTCACTGAAAATTCTTTGACCTAACCATCTTACGCAGTTATCTAAAATTATAGTATAGCTAAAGTATAGCTCAAAATTTAGCTAAAACCTTTTAACGAAGCTGACATTTTAGCAAATGAATTATTTCACACATATCTAAATCATGCTGCTCATTTTATGCTTGTCTGCAAATAGAAATATTAATTTATTAAACTTAAAGTGAATTTTAAACATATTATTTTTCCTTCTTCTTTTTTACAGTGATGGAGAGATTTATGATGATATTGGTGATGGTATGTTAGTCATTTCAAACAATATTAAATTCAGTTATAACAAATAACTTAATCCCTGAATCATGCAATCCCTGTTTCTATTTCAGGTTGCATCTATGATAATGACTAAGCTGACTTCTGTGAGTTTAAGAGTTACATTGGGGATCAAAATTTGTTTTGAACTTCCATGTTGTTGAAGAAAAGGAAATGACCAAAGTTCACTGGCTTCAGGTTAATGGGACCCAATCCTGTCTACATGAACAAAGTTTGGTTAGCTGTTTTTTGTAACTTCAGGGTTTTGTCATCAGTTGCTTTATATGAAATTTTTATTGCTATCAGAGCACTTACTTAAAATCCAAGGAATATGAGCTAGAGCCAAAGTTACCATCTTCTGCTTTCCTTCTATATTTGCCACAGTCCACATAAGATCAGTCCCTCAACTGGCTATTCCCAAGGAGGCCAGTGTGGGTCTGTGGGGGATGCAGAGGGCAATTACCCTCTGTAGCTCTGTTCTTCTGAGCACCAGAGACTGCCACCCTGGGGAGGACTCTTTCACAGGGTGAAAAGAAGTGCCTGTTTTTGGTGCTAGCATCCTCTTGTGAAAACAGGATATAAACAGTGGGTATCAGAGAAGACAGTTTGTTGCTAACCTGCCATTCCATTTGTAATAGTGTTAGCTACACTGACATGTACAGCCATGTACCCTCACAGCCAAAGTTTTATGTTGCACTAGTAATAGAATAAAGGTTTTCTAAAATTTGCTTTATTATAAGTACTTTTTGATTAATATTAATAGTTCCACAGTAAGCATAAATTATATCTGTTACACACAGCACTCTGAGATATTGATCGTGGAAGATTCTAATTTATAGTATATTAACACTCAGAGTATTTTTGGAATGTTTAGGTGAAGCTTTATTTTTTGTTTAGTTTAGATATCTATTGTTGTCACTATAGTTATTTGGGCATTAAAATGGAGCATAAAGTTATGATAAACTGGTGGGAAATAACTTCTAGAATAAATACATATATGTGTGTACAATAATCACACCGTTTTGATGTGTTATGTTTTTTAGTATTACTGTTTTACACAGGACTTAGCTAAATTAAAGTATATAAATTAAACATATTCATGCTTATATGCTTCTACATATCTTAACACACCCACAATCATTAGCAATGCTGTTATTTGGAAAATAAATATAAAATAAAACAAACCAATGAACCATAATAATAAATGTCACTTTACATTTACTCATATATCAGGAGCCCCTTAAAATCAAAGGCAATTTACAGTGAGCTTCCAATAACCAGTGAGATGATGTACAGAAAAGGGAAGATTCATTGTGATGCTTAGGCTATAGCGCTTGTTATCAATAACCTGTCACAGCCTGTGCAACTGAATCAGTGCAGATAACTCCTCTTGATAAAGTCTGCTATAATCCCCAAGAGAGGTGAGATGCCCATGCAAACCAGTGCAATGTAGCAAGCTAGCAAGTTTAGATTAAACACAAGTGGGTCTTTTTTGTTTTGTTTTGTTTTGTTTTTGATGGTTGAAAATTGATGGTTCCAACTACAGTATATCTCTAGGGAAGTATAATCCTATGAGGTTATCAAACGTTCAATTGACTGTAGAGATAACAGCTGGTAAGCTATTTTGTACTTTATGTAAAATCATGGACACTGTGCACTAAGGCCAGTATTGAAATGGTAAACTTGAGTTTCCAGTTCTATATTTGTTATTAAAACCAGCATCCAAACACACAAATAGCAGTATTATATGTGTAAATATCAGCACCAGGACTCAAACTGAAAACATGACCTTGTGCATTAAGTACAATGAATGTGGCTGACTCTTCAGCTGCTGCTGTTTTTTTTATCTTTCAGGGAAATTCGAGAGGCTGCATACACAAAATTAGTGCTATAAAATTAGGCATTTAGAAATATAAGACTATCTGTCAGTTAATAACCGGGTAAATATGTTCATAGTTCCCCCAGTGAAATATTTCAGAAAGAGCTTATATTAAATTCCAAGATACATGCCCAATCTTGTTTCAGTTGTAACTGATAATAGAACTTTGCATGTTGTAGTAGGACCAGCATAGGAACCTTCCTGTTGTATAAACTTTATTTGGTATTAAAGGTCTTGGGCAGGACACAATCGTTTTTTGTCCCTCTGCACAAACGTGGATTTTATTCTGTGTGGGATTTCTGATTATATTTTTGAATACTCTTTCTATTTTTCTTAACCTTAATATGATAGATGTAGATCCTGTGCTTCCTCATTGACTATACTGATAGTCATGATACTGACTCTGCCTCATGATACACTAAACAACATAAGAAACCATTACAAGATATGTCATGATAAAAATCTTGCACTCTACAAAATTGAAGGTGATTGGGATCAGGTATGGAAATGGGTTGCAAGGTATTATAATTTTACATAGAAAAGAAAATCACTGGTATCATGTATATTTTTGACTGCTTTAGCAATGAATATAAGTATGCTTTCTCACAAGAGATATAGGTACACAGCTTCTGCCAAAGTAGAACAGCACTATCTGAAAAACAACTCATGAATATTATCCCTGTGCAGCAGACAGAGTGAAAATTGACTCCATTACTGCTCTGATGGTGGTACAACTACAGAGTGGCATTTATTTATCAGTAATTGCTTCTCAGAATGTGAGCTGTAAGGAGAAAAAAACTTCCAAATAGCTAAATATAAACTTGAACATTTAAATCAAGATTATATTCTAGGCATTTCTCACATGTAAGGAAAGAAAAGGAAAGCTGTTCTTCCTCTTCCTCCCCCCACCCGCATTTCCAAACTCAGTCTCCAAACCTGGAATTTTTGGCTGTGTCTACTAAAGCATTCAGCAGCATTAAAACAGTGACTCTAAACTTAGGCTTTGGTGTAAGCAGAGGTGGTTTGCATCCATGTCCTGCCACTCCAGTGTCCCAGCAAACAAGCTAAGCAAAACAAAAACTGGAAGGGTGAAAAAGACTCTTTTTTTTTTT